TATGCATACACACGTATGTACATATGCATTTCTAATAGACATGCATAACCCATAAAAATTTATTTATTATGAAAGCAAAAATCACAATGTCTCAGAAAGCCTTCAAAATGCTAAATGGAGGGGATCGTTTAATTATATGTAGAGATGCCATTGCTGTGATGTAAGTTTTCCATTTGAACATTAAATGTCTTATATAGTAGCAAAATAACTAAATGGGTGTATATATTTTCATATTCCTAATGGAAAAGCAATTCTAAGGAGCAATGGCACATTTTGATATTAATAGAATTATTACTGTAGATAGAAGATTTAATTTGTAGGATTTTATTTTATTGTATGCATCAGAGTAGAGTTATGAGTCCTTTTTGTGATACTGCTGATGCAAAATAATGTTTATTTATCATAATTTGTTTTTTAAAAAGTGGGAGTCATGGGGTAAATTGTTTACAGGCAATGAATTATGAAGCCCTGTGCTAATGTTTTATAATATGAGCAAAAATAAAGAGATATTGTAAAGCAGCAGATCCCAGCACAATTGCTTATCAGTAGCTGTATGACAGTGTAGACTTTACCGTTAGATAAAAATATTGGCAGAACATGAGGATGAGAAAGTAAAAATCTAGAGGCACGGATGCTGGTATGGTTGGTTGAGAAGTTAGGTAAAGAAAACTTTCACATTCTCAGAAAGGCAGTCTGTTCTCCATCTGTCTTTTTTATACAGACTAAATATAATCGAAGAACAAATGAAATGAGAAGCTGACGTTCCAGAGCTTCACCAAACCATCTGCTGAAACTGAGATCTGAAACTGATTTTGCTATAGTAATAGGCTGTTTGATTTATTAATTACTAAGTTTATACATGGTCCTTTACAAAATGTTTTTCAGGTCAATATCAAAACTGTACAGTGAAATGTCTACAAAATTTTAGAACTGCATAAAACCTATAAAACTAATTATGTGAAAGGGTTGGATTGCTTTGCACTAAAACTTAGCAAGCTGGACATCGGGAAAACTTCTTCAGGAAGAGCATTCCACAAATTGGATAGAATTGTGGGAAAAGCCCACCCCTCATTTGCTTGACCACAGCTGTCAGATCTTAAGGTAAGGGAAGACGGATAATGAGTCACCTTGTTTCACGTATTCAAGTCCCAGGCCACCTGGATCAGTATTTTGAAGTGTGCCATTAAACAAATCAGGAATCACTGGACTTTTTTAGAAGCTCTGGCAAACACACTTCTGTTCTTCCAGAGCAGCACATAATGCAATACATTGTAACAATCTAACCTGGAGTCTGTATGAGCATGACTAATAACAGCAAAGTTATCTATGACCAACAGGAAGGTCCTATTGCCCACATACACCAAGATGGGCTTTCCACTGGCATCTACTTGAACACTGTGGAAAACATGTAGCTGGACTACATAGTCTAGGAGTGCAGACTCTGTTTCTTTCAAGCTGTTCTGTGATTTCCACTCTCTTCCATCACAGATGGTATAACCAATGATCAAGCTTAATTCATCACTCTTGAGATGGCCTTTGTTCTTATCCAGCGGGGTGTTATACTTTCTTTTTTTAATGACTGGCTATGTTTTCAAATGTTTTTTGCTTTGCATGGGGTAAAAAAGTCTTGCCTGAAGCGGGCTGACTTTGGACCAAAGATTACGGGCATTTGGGAAACAACCCTGAGGGCATTTTGGAAATGTGAGGCCTTTAAATCATAACATTGAAACAGAAATGTGAGATACAATGTGCTTTATGCAGAAGGTTTTATTTCCATTGAAGACATATTCAGATATATTTTGAAGGGCAAAACTGGCCAAGCAGTGGGGAGCAATAACGCCCATGCTGCCATAACACATTTAACTGGTTTAATGCTCATGTTTGGTGGAATAATAAAAAAGGAATCAATTGAGCCTTTCAAGGACACCCATAGAATTAAATTTATCTCAAAGCAAAGCCCATCATACAGAAGATTAAACTAACTCCATCCAGTCAGATGGAGCGAGAGCATTTAATTATCTACTGACTCATTTTGCCTATGATGTCCTCCTGGAAAAAGAGCTGGGCCGAAGGACCAGATTAAAAAGTAATGCCCTCCCTTATAGAACTCACTGCCAATACTAGGCAGCACACAGCATGTTTCCCAAATATTGGCTGCAACCTACTGCTGCTGGCCTGGCCAGTGGGGAAGGGGCTGGTAGTGTTGCAAAGCCTTACTATTATTTTTCTGATGCAAGGCCTTTGGGAAAACCAGACAGTTCCTGGAGAAAATGGGTGGGTCTGTCTTCCCAAAATGGTGATACTTGACCCTGTTACTGTGATGGCATGCTACTAGAAATACTACCAAGGAGACTGAATTGGGTTAGTGGCTGATGGTTTTAAGCATATTGTGGGAATAGGGCCTATGATGGCTTCACTGAGGTTAACAACTGGCCAGTTTCACTTACTGGGAACCAATTCCTGCTTAGGAATAGCTTTTCCCCAACCTGATATCCTCTAGAGGTGTTGATCCCCCCTCCTCCATCCCATTCCTTTTGGCATGCTGGCTGGGAGCTGAAATTCAATATATCTGGAAAGCATCAAGGAATTATCCTTAAATAGACAAGAGAGTCCTTGCTGAGATATGCAAATACACCCACTAAAAATAGTTGACCCTATAATGGCTTGATTTTCTAAAATTCTTAAGTATTTGATGCACTCAACTCATCTTCTAAAAGCAATTTTCTTTGAAGAATTTCTCATTCGGGTAATTCATTAGCAACCGAGGAACATAAAAACTTGCCATGGGTGAAACCCACTGCTCAGAGAATTTTGCCTTGGAGTCTACTGTAAGTTTTGGGTTCCATCCACTCATCTTTCAGATGTTGTATGTGACCAGATGCACACCTATTGTTTCTTTCATGTATACAATGCCCTTTTTAATTACACGGAAGCACCAGCTCCATAAACCGAGACAAATTAATGTCTTTGAAAATTATTAAGAAGGTTATGTGGACAGGAAATACCACTCAGAGCACCAGATCTGTATCTCAAGGATTGGATTAAAGCAACATTGGGTTAAAGTGGATTTTTTTTACAGCAATTTAATCCTTACATTCTCTGCTATGCATCTTTAGATATAGTTCAGCACTGTGGTCTGCAGCTTGACTATTGTAGTAGTTCTTTAACCTTTGCTAAGAATTCTCAACAAAACAGATCTGTTCAGAAATCAAACTCACTGACAACAGCCTGTGCTGCCCATTACTGGAAGCCTGGAGATCTGTTTTCTGGTGAAATTTGAGCCATTGCATGCAGATCATCCTGTTAAGACATTGCTCGTTTTGCTCTGTGTGTTCCAAAATGGTGAACCCACAACTTAAGTTCCTCTATAGTTACCTCACAGTATAGGATTGCTCAGTCTTTATATCACCCAACAAACAAAGCACAACCTATCATTAAACTTACACTCAAATGTTTATGCTGCTGCTGCTGGTGGCAACAGAACATAAAGGCTTGGTAAACCTACAAGGGATCCAGAAAGACTCGATCTTTTCACCACTGCTTGGAGAAAATATGATGCACGGATGCTACTGAAGTCCAGGGACGGGTCCTTCAGCCACTCTATCACTTCAAAGGTTACCCAATAGTGCCATCTACTGATGCAGGTTTTGCACCCACCAGCTTGAGAGAGATGCTCCTTTACTGTGTGTCATCACTATTGAAGAGGCAATTGGTGGTACCTGTACCTGCTAATTCCTTATTTTTCATTTAGATTTGTTTTTAACATTTACGGCTGGTAGGAGGAATTGAAAGCAGGCTTGCTGTTTAATTCTCACAATGGCTGACAAAGCTAATTATCTGTTTAGAAAAGGGTAAAAGTTGCAGAGAAGATATCTCTGGACCAGGATATGCACATATTGATATTAAGTCAGCGGCTAACTCGGTTGGGCTTCTGTTGTGAAACTAAAGCCACCAATATTTTAATTTCTATGCAAATGCTCAGAAAAAGAGGCCCTGGGTAAATACTAACATACATAATTCTGTATCTATGTTTCTCAGTCCTATTCATAAACGCAGTTTAATTAAAGTCAAGCATTCCACTGTATTGTGCATAACAGTTCCCAGTGACTCCCTAATATTCTGCCTTTTGTGGTTAAATGTCACCACACATCCACTGTGCAAATACATCTATGGAAGACCAAATGTTTATTAGGCAAAAATCAACCAGATGGTACCAGCTAACATTCAGATCTTTGGATCGTCAGAAACCCTGGTGTTAGTACTGTCCAATAATCACTTCAATAAAGAAATTAAATCCATTGGCATTATATTTGATACACTTCTGTATATGCTATGGCACCAAGCACAATGGCCCCAATCCCTTGTAAGATTATTTGTTTAGTAAAACTAGTGATCTTCAAAGAAGATGTACTTGTCCCCTATTATTTTCCTTTGATCACAGATGGGAAGTAGAAGATACGTTGGTTCTCCCCGGCGGATTGGGACAGTTTAATTCCAAACAAGTTCTTGTACACAAATTAGGCCTGAATTAAGGTTAGAGCTGGGGATAAATAAAACCAGTTGTTATATGTTCAAGTCTGTCTTCCTTTGATGGTGTGGCTATTCTTCCCCACATCCATTCTTGTAACTGAAGCCGACATAGGAATAACCTTGAAAAATGGGAGCTTCTGTTCAACAACAATCCCTAGAGGTGACAGAAACTGAGGGTGAGGGAGTGACATTTGAATCCAATTTAAGATCTCCAGGGTGAAACAACTACAATTTTGCTATTGGCAGAGAAATCCAACTCCATATCCACTATTTTTATCACTCCATCAGGCAATATAAGGGGAGAGTGGTGAGGAATCAAGCAAAATACATTATTTAGGCTACCACCATCAAACCATTCACATCGGTATAGTTCCATTAACCTTTTTTAGCATTGCTGTTAAATAAAAGACTTGGAGGATCATCTCTGCAATAACTGTAAACTGAATTAATTGGCTGTTTAAAGATGCATACTAACGATTTTTGTCTTCCAATTTCTTTTTGCCGGTTTTCTCAGTCATGGTCTCCATAATCATAGCACTTTCTTCATAGCTTTGAATTTTGTCATCAGAGAATTTTTCAATGGATTCTACCACTTCTACCTTCTCATAACTCATAGCGCTTGGTGAAGTAAGTTCCTTGTGCAAGCCATCCTGCTTATTGCATTGTTTCTTTACATAAATTCCTTCTTCATTTCGCTCATTTGGACTTGGTGTGGAATATGGTTCAGATGTCCCACTAAATGGCTGTTTAGGGAACTCGTCTTTTTTTCCAAGTTGTTTCCACAACTTGGATACATCATCTTCCTTCTCTTTGCCTTTCAGCTTGTACCCATATTTAATGTCTTTCTGCATCCTTGATTGCTCTTGTATTTCATGGGCTTCAAGTTTGCTTTTGTAATGTTCAGGAGACCTGGGTAATTCTGGGATTGGTTTCATGTCACTTCCACTTGATATATTTTCTTCGGCATCTGAAACAATGACCCTACCCTTAGAAGGAATTGGTAAAGTATGGAAGCAGGTGTCATCATAGCTGCCTTTTTCTGTAACAACTACATATCCTCTAGCATGGAACCCAGTTTTGGGTTCATGCCTTTGGTAGCATCTGATTTTCTCTTTCACTATATTGCACAATTTGTCAAAAGCTTTGCTTATTTGTGCTCCATCAGGCACATCCTCTTCAGCTTTGTTGGGCTCAGTTTCTTCCTTTGTATCATTGCACCCATGTACACTTCCCATAAATAATCCTTCATGCTTGAAATCCATTGGAACTTGGTCAAATCTTTCTTGTGGCTGGGCAGACACTTTTTCCACGGAAGACCCATTGGTAAGATCTTTTGGTGTAATCTCTTTCCTCCTTAACATTTTCTTCGGTAGAGTTCTTTGTCGTAACTTGGCACTAGCAATGTCTTGTATGACCAATGTAATGTCTACATTAATGGAAATAAGAAAATAACAAATATTGTATGAGATGCAGCCTACTGAAGAGGAAATGCATAATGTGCAGACATCCTCTCAAACATGGTTGATGAGAGTGACTTTAATGGCATGAATATTTGCTGAAGAAAATATTAGATCAGGGTGCACCACTTCTTTAGGCAAGGTCTACTCTTGCCCTTTGAGTGATACACTCCAACATGTCGATTAGGCAAAGACAAAACTTAAATGTGATTGAGTTTTAATCTCAAATTTAAGTTGATTTGATTTTAGTTTAGTATAATTTTAGTTTAATGCAATTAATATGATTACTACTTATATATTAATACTTACATAATTATTACTAATACCATACACTCACACACATAGTCTAAGCATGATTGTATAAGGAAACACTGGTATCTACCAGGCTCCAGTTGGACCATAATTGCATTACTGCAATTCATGCAATTAGCAAGAAATTAAGCAAGGGAGACTCAACTGGTGACAGCACCCAGCCAACAGATGATCTCAAAAAGCTAAATAGGATCAGATCTAGTCAGTACTGGAATTGGAGATCCCCAGGAAATCCCAGGGCTGTAGACTAGTCCAGAAATTAAAAAAAAAAAAAAAACCCGGAGAAAGGCAAGAGCAAACCACTTCCTCATTGTTGACAAGAAACCAATGCAGGGATATTTCTGGAGCTACTAGAAGTCAGGCTAGTTCTGAAGAAAGTTTTACTATTATATGTAAAAGAAAAAGTTCATTTTAATACAACCAAAATGCAGGCTTAAATGCTTTATGGATTTGGCAAGATGCAGAGTTTATTCCTTAGCCATATATGTACAAAACTTTAATTCGTCACAAATGTTCAAGGGTTATGACCCCAATGAATAGAAATGTTAGCTCATTTTAAAACTATTGGGGATATGCTTCAGGAACTTGAGGTAGGAGACCTCTCTCCTTCCTAAGAAATCAGTAGATGATTCAGTTATTGTCCATCTTTCTTCAATAGATACTGAGATTTCGTTAGCAGTAATCCATAATAAAAGGGTTAACTTACGTCACCTGTACTCAGACAATGGGAACAATGAGATCAGCATACTCACAGAAATACATCACACATGCATGCTACTCTCATGGACTAAAATAATTTCTGTAGATACTTGATTACCTGTCCCTTTCAAGGTTGGTGTCTCTGAGGGTCTGTAGGTCTGTGTAAATAGGGTTACTGGAGTTCCAACAATGGCAGAATTCAATCTATCACAGTGGGGAAAAGTTATAAGTCATGATCAATACATTCCACCAAAATAAAACCTAAACAAACAAACATTTAAAATAATGTCAAGTCAAACCATGTGGGTTACATCTATGTAATTATACCTATTTACAGTATTTTCCAAATAAGTTACTTTTATTCCATTCGAAACTTGTTACCTTAAGTTGAGCTACATGGAATGCTATCATTTCCCACCTCTCCATATCCACTTCACTAAGCCCATTGTCATAAAACATTCTAGAACAGAATGTCATACTCTGGCAGGTTAACAAAACACATATGAATCTCACTGAAAAATGACTGAGGAGCAAGAATCTACCCAGAAAAGAACACTGATAGAGTAGCTGAGATACCCCAAGAAACCTCTGTGAGCGGAGAACTGCCAGTGGTAGGGAAAAAAATGAAGTGCTCCAGATATGATATATCCAAAGCCTGCTTAGTCCCTGAAACTTTCAGTTTTCTAAGAGAAAAGCCAGAGCTGCTCCTAGTTCACCACTCCTGAAACCTGCTCTTCCTCTCTCTTCTTTTTAAGCATATAATTGAACCATATGGTTGCACCTCTTCCAGCTTAAAGACCTGGGGGTTAAAAGGGTGGAGGGCATGGATATACATCTCAATTCCCCTGCAGGCACTTTCCATGTCTACTCCACTATAAAAATCTACAACAGTCTTCTACATATACAGAGGTGAACATGCTCAACAGAACTCCATAGGTTTGAAAATCTTCATTGAACAAGGGATCCATTGAACAAGGCACCCATTGTAGAGAACCACAGAGAAGACCTTGGAGAAGCAAAACATGATTTAAATCTAGGAAAGGTAGAGAACATTAAAAAGCAACTTAAAGTGGTTCTGACTTAAGTGGTTACTCTCTTTGGTATAAGAGAGAGGGAAATAAGAACACAAGTAGGCTTTCAAGATTATGTTATTCCAGTATTTCTTGTGGAATCCATTTCCTGACCTGGCCTGCCTGGAAGGACTGGCAGCCATCCATGTGGAGGCTTCTAAGCACATCTACCTGAACATTCAGATCATGCTACTAAGATGAAAGGGAATGAGTCTAATCGGAGTACCCTTCTTGCCTGTTTTGAACACTTGCTGATCAGCTTAATGCCTTAATAGGAGTACAACGTGGGTGCAATCTATTTTTAAAACAATATTATTTCAGTCATTTGGATCCACATATATGTACTTAAACATTCTCAGAGGAATATACACTAGGGGACCTTCTATTTCTGATGCATCACTTTGCCAGTAGTCTTTTCCCCGTGCAGTTGTTGTTCTGTGGTCACAGATGAATGAATATAGGGCAATGTGTTTGCAATGCAGGCAGGTATGATACATGGGCATAATATTATCATTGCAGTGGAAATAGGAGGGGTTCTGTCTGCTTCATCTCTTTGATTTAAAAGAGGAGAAAGTTCTGTAAGCCACAACTATGGCGGGGCAACTGCAAGAGAAGTGCAGTTCATGCAGATCTTTTCTAGATCCTTTTAAAATTATGTGAAAGACTTGCTCTATGTGTGCACATCTCTGCAACTACTGCAGATTTAACCCTAACCCTAACCCTTAAAAAAAAAATACATGGTTATTTACAGTTGCACAAAGTGCTTATCAACACCCCTTACCATCAAAAGAGTTGAAACAGAAAGCAACCATAAATGTGTTGCCTTCATATCCCAGTCTCCTTACCCCAATTAAAAACGAAGATTGAGAAAAAATTGATTTTATGCTCTTACAAGTAAGAGTTGAAAATCAGCTACTGTAGTTTGTAGTATCTCAGCAACAACAGAAAGTCACGTAGAAGCCTGGAAAAAACACCTGGCACATTGATGTAGAAATGCTATCAATGGGTGGCTTATGGAATGTGTCATGTGCTTCTAAAGTGAGTAACATATTTCATACCAATTAATATTTCATTTAGATTGGTGCTCATTACTGGAAAATGATGTTTTAATCTGAGAAGCTTGAACACCCTGCCCTGCCATCCAAAGTAGAAAAACCTAGAAAGCTATTATGAATAGTCCTATGATTTAAAACATTGAACAATATGGCCAAGACTTGATTGTTTGGTATTGAAATTATCTCTTGGACCCAGTTTGATGAATCTCTAAGTGCCACTGTTGCTTTGTGTTTCAAGAACTTCCATACCTGCTATCTTCATTTTCAATAATACGTTTGTAGCGCTCCAATTCACTCTCCAGGGACTGTTTATAAATGGACAGCTGGCAGCAGCGGCTGGTATATTTTTCCAAGGTCCTTTCAGCTTCTTCTATGCCCTTTCTCAGAGTGTCAATCTGCTCCTTATACAGCTGAATCTCATCACTGTAGCTCTGCTGGGTGTTCTTAATCACCTGCTCCAGCACTGCTGTCTGTTAAAAAAAGGAAGATGTGAGAGATCGCCTAAGGCAGCTCTGCTATGGGGAACAGCACAGTTCAGTAGCAGCGAAGATGCAGAATGCTATTCTATTTCAATGATGTTTCAATGACTTGAAACAAATAATTGATACTCATTTGTTTCAAGCATCACTTGGCATTAAGAAATAGAAAGGAGGACCCACATTAGCACAACATAACAGTGAGGAGCAGGCAGGATGAGAAAAGGTATTTAGATAGCACAGCGCCCGAGTGGCACAAAAGATGCCATTTCTTAAAAGAGTTCATCTGTCCTAATATAAATAATGTTAACAGAAACCTGCGCATGTGCCTCAGTTAAAGTTTTAGGTCCATACACCGTACATAGGATTAGTGTAGTACTAGTGTTTCTAGCATGGAGAGAAGTGAGCTCGGTGCCTTATGGGTTCAATATAATCCTGAATCTGTTTCTGCGACCACAAAAACAACCAAAGTTTTTATCAGACAATTTAGCAGTAAGCCACCCAAAATGGTAGCTTGATTTTTTCCCCCCATTTTTCAGTCAAAGGACTAGTAAGATAAGCATACTAAACTTTTGGAGACTTAGTGTACCTATTTTACTCTACTCCCCTCCCTCAAGCCCCACTGAATTGTTTATAATATTATAAATGTTACCTCCTCCCACTCCACTGACCCAAATGAATGCCATATCCTTGCAGGAAAAGAAATGTTGCAAACCACTGGAGTTCTATAGATATGAAGTAGCATGGACCTGGAAATTTACACAGGCATTACAAGAACCCTGAAGTGCCAAGGCAAACAGTGCCCTTCTACAATATATTCCCAAGAAAAACTCAAGCCCATTCCTTAATGTGTCTCCCCTTAAATTTTATAGCTTCTTAAGACAGGACAATGGCTTGAATTCCAAGATCCTCCAAGAGAAGCTTTCCTGAAGAACCAAAACAATGAATTGGAATACAACAATGCTTCCTCCTTCTCCCTCCCCTCCCCTCCCCTCCTCTCCTCTCCCCTCCCCGAATATTCTTTATTTTTTTGCAAGTATTGTTTGTGGGACAAAAAGTCATGTTTTTACATTCTATTGTAGGCGGCTGAAAATGTTTTCCCAGAAAGGGTTCCAGTGGAATATATATTGACCACCAGATGGTGCTCAGTCACCTGAAAAACTGATAGAAAAATTTTTATCACTTCATCATTACTCCTGGAATATAAATTTTGAAAAGTTTTATTATTCAGATAATTTTGAAAACCTCAAGAGTATATTCTGTAAAATCATAATGAATCTTACTTCAAAATGTACCTTCACAGATCTTTGGGATCAATTATTTCCATTTCTAGGACTGAAGAATTGCTCAGGTTAGGTACCCTGCTACAATGAACCTTCACAGTTTATGATCTCTCTGATGCTTTTAGCTTATAAAAGAGAAGAGCAAGCAACAGTTCTAAAATACCCACAGAGTGCTAAAAATGAAACATGCATGCATGAAAATGAAAGCATGTAACATCAGAGAAGGACACTGATTTTCTTATAAAATGTGAGTCTTCCCAGTGAGCAACAGGGTCAAGGTGGCACTAATGCAAAAAATTAGGGCACCTTTTTTTTGCATAAAGCTTTCATAAACTATTGGATAGATAGATGATGATAGATAGATAATAGATTTGATTGTATATGGAGGTATATGAGCATGAAAGAGTGAACAGTGATATTACCCACTTCCCTAAAAGGGGAGGTTGGAAATGGGACAAAAGAAGGGGGTTCCTCAAGGGATGATGTACTACCACCTTCTTCATGGCAGGTGGCCTTACACCCTCCCTTGGAGAAGCACTGCTTATCTCTAGATCCAATTGCTCATGGCTGTCCAGAAGAGGCATGTGTCAAGCTCACAGGGGTCAGAACTCAGACTTCAGAGAACTCTATTCACTTCCTCAGTTGCTCAAGGTCAAAAGAATCCCAGGTTACCCCAGAATATGCCACCTTGCTCACACAGCGTCCAACCAGGGTGGATCCTATCAACTTTATTCTCTAAGAAACTGACAAATCCATCTAACATGACTGCAGGAGCTTTGTCCTGTCTTGTTTCTTGTTAAAAGAACCCAGATTACTCTGAACAGGACCATTAGTGGGAATCTGTGGATGTGGCAAGTACAGAGAATGGTTGAGACCTAAACTATTTCCCGGATAACCTCTTGCTTGTGAAACAATCATAATCCAATTTAATAATCTAAATTAATCTAATAGTTTATGAACTTTAATCTTAACTTAAACCATAATGCTTGTAAAACCCTTGTGCTCAAAATATAGAGTACCCAAGCTGTTAGTTTCCAGAGTAAAACGTTTATTCTAGTAAAAAATAACTTTTCTCGAAACAATACCTCTGTCTGAAGCTTAACTTTCTGGGCTTGAAGCTGGCAAAGAATGCCCTTGTATTCTTCTATCTGACTCTGAAGTATTGGTATCCTTCTCTCAGTTATCAGCTTTTCCTGCAAAGCAGAAGGAGGAAATGTAAGTGAAATTGAATTGATAACAAAGATTTGACTGTAGGTTGGAATGAAAATGATTTTTAAAAATCCAATTTTCCTCTTTATCTACATCACGTTTCCAGTGGAAATGTGATATAGATCCTAACTTTTCAGGCATTCCACACAATTGGATATTATGGTGAAGTGTTCAGTAGTAAAAGCCTATTGAGGGAAGCTTATGTATAAACAAGAAATATTTATAACCCCCTGCCCAATCGAATGGCCTCCAGATGTGTTGAGCATCCATCATCCCCAACAAACTGTATGATCAAATTCCAAAGGACCACCCTTTCAAAGTAGGACCCATGAAAGTTCCTAGAGCTAAGCCATCATTTGGAGTGGCCCAGATCTACTTCATTTGGCTGGCAGCAACTCTTCCAGAGTTTCTTCAGAAGTCTTTCCCAGCCCTTGACACCTGAGATCTTTAACTCTCATTGTTGGGGAATATGGGGGATTCCAAGCAAGCATTCTAAAGTAGCATGAGCTATCAGAATTATGGATTAAGCACTGTGCTCAGTCTGGAAACAAAGTGTCATTTTTTAATGATTGTCTCGATAATTTGAGAATGACTGCAGGGTGTGTGGGGGTGAGAGGGATAAGCAATCAGTAATATGCACTTGGTACAGTTACTTTTGTGATAAGTTCCATTCCTTTATGGAAAGGAGAAAGAGTATCATTTAGAATTAGACTTCTTCAAAACAGGACAGGCCACCAACAATGACTGATACTAGGCTCCCTCATTTGAATCAGGTTCCTCAAATAGTCAACATCCCTGCTTCAGATAATTATTTTTAACCACTCCTGGAAACAGCTGCATAGTTACGGTCCACTTTTCAGAGATCCTCAAATTCAGTCAAAGCCCTAAGTGCTGTGTTTAAACCATCTAAGTGCAAAAGAATCACTAAATGAACCTTTTACAACTTGGAGTCTCCAAATAACTTTATTAGATTTTAAAACAACAACAACTTGGAGTCTCCAGAAGTGATTGGGTGGTATCTCTCTTAGCCACCATTGTTAGGTTTCAGAGATAATGGGGGCTGTAGGCTGAGATATAGTTACAAGGGGTAAGCAGTGTGTTGAGTGATAATTTTTATATAAACTGATTTGGACACCCTTAATAGAAAGGAGAACCCATACAAAATTGATGCTTTTCAGAATGTTGAGATGTGATTTGCAACTCAAAAATTATAAGCGAATGTAATAGTTTAAAAGAGTAACCATCCTAGTCTCTTATAGCAAAAACAATAAAAAGTAGTTTCTAAAATGTTACCATACATATTCTCATTTTTACTAAAATCAAGAAAGTAACCATTCTAGGAAAATGCACACACACACACAAATGCACAAATGAGAGAAGTCCACACAAACAATATTTACTTTTGTGTGGAAAAATTGGTGCATTTTCCCTCTTCCCTCCGCCCACGTTCTGAAAGAGGAGGATCAACAGGAGATACAGTTCCTACAATTGCTATTTGGACGAAGAACAAAACTAATTCAAATCACCCCTCCTTCCCCAGTTTAGACAAATGTCTGCATTTATGCTCACACCTGTGGATACACCTCTGTGACCTATCATTAATATGCAACTACACGTTCTTCAAAACCAGTGTTTCTCAACCTTGGCAACTTTAAGACATGTGGACTTAAACTTCCAGAATTCCCCAGCCAGTGACAGCTGGGGAATTCTGGGTGTTGAAGTCCACATGTCTTAAAGTTGTCCAGGTTGAGAAACACTGGTCTAGACCAACACATACATATTTTTGCAGACCACAGCATTGGAACATTAGCATGTGCAACAACTGCATTTGTCTTATGCCATATCTGTCAATAAAGAACCCCAGATGAATTACTCATGTTTAGTCACAACTGAAAAAAGTTGAGGAATCTCTTCAGAGGGCTGACCAAGTAGAAAATGTCAATTTACTTGCCTCAAAGGGCAGCTGGAAAAAGGACACCTCCCATTTCCTTCCACTGCATAGCAGTTGCTCATTATCTGAATGCTGCCCTAAGCAGTCAGTATCAAGACCAGAGGACAACTGGTGTTAGGTACAACAAATTTATTTATTTTATTTATTTATTTATTCGGCTTGTATGCCACCCATCTCCCCCACGGGTGGTTCAGAGGACTTGTATCACTCTAATAGGTCTATGTGAGACACTTTGCCTTGGTGAGGTAGTTTGTGCTATGAAGGCAACAATATTTGCCTCATCAAGATGCAGCAATTACAAAAACCAGCTTCTCTAGATACCTGGTCTTGTTTCAGTGGTCTTCTCCAAATCTTTCAGTAACTCACTATGTTGGAAGAGGCTTCTGTGCACGTGCCTCTTCCAGTTACTGGAAGTTTCAAGAAGGATTCTGAAACAAGGTGAAGACAAGTAACATGACAGCTTTGCTTCACTCTTTGGAAGTGGGGTGGCTGGACATCCCTTTGTGAAGCAGCTTCAAAGGAGTTGAAGCAAAAAGGACAAGTAAGAAGCCCTCCTTTGAAGCTTTGTATAGACCTTCAGTATAATCCTCCAAACACTGCTATGCTAAAGCCTGATCTTATCCTCCCATCTTATTTAAAAACTGGGGTCTTTCAATGAACATAATTTTTCTTCAGGCATTGTGTGAATGGGGAAGGGCTTGAAAGTAGGTAGAGAGCAGGGCTGGGCTTGCAGCTGAGACCCTTCCCCTTCCTGAATGCCATACATTCAGCCAAGGAATGATGAGGAGTTTTTGCTTGAACACAAGTAGAGTTTGCTTCCTAACCTGAGATCATAATAAAGCAGGATTCCAGCCTGGACTCATGTGTATGTGAACATTGCAATACTCCCCTCCAGACCTTCTGGCTGAATGTGTGGAGGTCAGGTCAGGGGGGCAGCTTGCATGCCCCTTCCTTTATTCGGTTTGAAACTCTCAGATGTTCAGGTGTATGCCTGAAGAGGGCTTTTGATAGCAAAATTATTTGCAAAAGAAAATTCTTACCTCACTGGCCCCAGCCACATTGGTGGACACCTGAGGTGTTGCTTGCATGATCTGCTGTAAATTTCCAACATAGGTCTGTATTTCCATGAGGTTCTGTGGCCAGGTAAAATAATTATTCAAAATTATTATAGCAAGAAGCTGTGGAAGGAAGGAACTGCATTGCTGAGTTTCTACCTGAAGCTCCCCTCTTCTGGGGGAGAAGGAAGCAGAGATGTTGAGAAAGGCTGGATTGCTAGACACTGATACGGACTAGCTATATCCCCTAGCAGGCTACTGTAATTACCTTTCCCAGCCTTTGTTCATAGATGGTGTCATTTGGCATATGTGTGCTATTGGATTATATTATTAGCACATACAATGGTTTTAACTACACTGTAATCCTTTGTGTTGCAGCATTTATACTGGGTATAAATTAATCTTTTTATTGGAGGATTTTAAAACATTCAGCCTCCTAAGTAAGCATTACAGCAACTTGTATTATTTCCAAAGAATGCAGGTGCATGCATAATAAAAGTTAGTGTACTATATATTGCACACCAGTCTTTTCCAGACAGAAAAAGGAGTAACAGATCCTGATAAGGACTGCCAAGTTTAAATAGCAAGGAAAACTTAGTCTCACATTGTGAATCTTGATCTCAACCCAAAAACTTGGAGGGAGGGGGAGTGATTGTACAATCTGCTAAACTACTTGATAGGATTGAACAAGTATGTTTTATTTCAGGACAACATGAAGATGAGCAGAAATAACCATACCTCGCTGGAAATTGGGTCCAGTAACACCAGCAGGGCTTGAACGTCACCCCTTATCACTCTTAATTTTAGCCTAGGCCTTCTTAAAATACAGAAGAGCTTGGATCAGCTACTTGACCTCCTTTGTAAAAGAGGCACCATAGAGGTATTGTTGGTAGGAATCCCAAGTATAAAGTGAATTGTTAACAGAAGCAGGAGCAGAGCTGGCTACAAAGTAGATCTCCTTCTACTGTAGATATCTAATGTATTGAAAGAGATCCAGAAATATTTATCAATTGCCACCACAAAATAACTTATCCAATCCTAAATTCCTGCCTAAAGAAAAAAAAAAGTATTAAGATGGCAAGGACATGGTTTGTATACAGAAGGTCTGTGAGCTTGGTTTATTTTTGATACTTGAAGCAAATTTGTGGATTCAGAATCCTTTAACTCTAAGTAACTGTCTTTTCCCACCAAACTCTAGATGATAAATGTCAGTATAAAAAATGGAAAGGGAAACAAAGGAAATCAAAGTAGATCTCTGAAGTCCATCCCTAAGCTAGAAGAACCCTTTTACCAGCCATGTCTCTTCTTTTTGCTCAGCATGGATTCACCTACACATATGAAGTAGACTTGTATCAAAAGGGAAGGAATAGCTTCATCTGTTAAAAGTTGCTTGGGAAACAGAGGTGAGAAGCAAACAGCTGTCAAGAGTTACCTTCTTATATCTATCTTTTGTGGCATTTACATCATCCTGCAAGAACTGTGATTCAATCTGGAGTTCTAAATTGCACAACAAAGCTTCATCAGCTTCCTGTAATAAAACAATTTAAAACATCATTTTCTTTTGTGCTTTTTATTCTGACAGTAAACAAATATTTGAGCCATTAGTATTGCATGGAAACATTGGACTTTAAATTTTGTAAAGAAAAGCCATCTCTTGCAGTAACCTATATAACAGTTCTGAAATAGATTAATATAAAGCTAGGAAGGATGATCTTCAAATATTTATTTGCATCCTGTGTATATAAAAACTGAAATCTAAATAATTGATAGGCAACTGATAATTGATAGGCAACTTTATTACATAAGTCTTGTACTGCACTTAGGTAGAATTGCATACCAAGTAAATATAACAAGGAAAAGAGTTCCTTGAATCATACTTGATTCTTGGTGATTCCAAAGTCACATTTATGTAGTTTTCTTGGCAACAATACAGAAGTGGTTCACCAATGCTTTGTTTTTGTTTTTCAACTTCCCAGTCTAAATAACCAAGCTGGGATTTCATGGTAGTTTCTCCCCTCCAAATCCTAACAAGGTCTGATCCTGGTACCTTTTTCGATGTATACATTTATACCCCCTACCCATTTCACTGTGCTTCCATTTAGATCAGTTGGATATAGTTTAAGGAGTTTTGTTTTTGTTTTTTAGGAAATCACTATATAAAGAATATTTATTATCCATGCTTCATTGTCAGGGACTAAGATACTGGTTTGCTATGTAGCATTAAGACGAATGGGCATTCCCAAAAAACATTTATTTTGAAAACAACAGCCAGAGTGGCCTTCTCAACTTCGAACACGCCTGTGACAGAGCATAGTAGACTATGAGAGTGACAACCAACACAAATACTTAAGGTCCATTTCTTATATTCAGCTAATCAAATGCAGCAAGCACTAGTCCCAGATGCACTACCTGACCTGAATGTTCAGTTTCCAGTAACATCACCTCTATCAACTGTACTACAGTCCCATTTCTGGTTAGGCAATGCGATGGAGAGTTATTCAAAGAGCTTTGCTTTTGTGATAGGCCCAGCAAACTAATTCCAAGCTCTGTTGTGCTATTCAAAAATGTGTAGATGCTTGCTGTTTCCATTATATCATGGATTGCAGAAGTAGCACTGCTGATGTGCCAGTAATAATGATAATAAGAATAAGCACAGAATTTTGCTACAGGCCTAGTTATCTGCTTTGTGAGCAGATAAGATTTATGAATGCAAATGACCAAAGGAATATTCTAAGCCATTTGCTCACTGTTTCTCTGTTTTCCGACGGAAAGCTGAATCGGAAGCACTACAATGAGACCATGAATCCAGTGACAGGCTGAGAAAGCGAGCTAAATACTGCTGACGGGTACATATTTGGAAAATAGAACAAAATTAAACTTTGGCTTAAAAAATAAATTCAGATATATTTCTTTGGTATTCATCATACATCTGGAAACCAGGATTGATGATGTACCACATTTGGAGGTATAATTCAGTGACAACTAATTCAGACAGCAGCTGAATTGGTGGACCATTGACCTAGGCATATGGATGAGAAGAATCATTGAAAGTGTTATATGTGATTAGTTGACCATGGTTACAATTGGCTCAGGGTCATTAAGAACTCTTTCATTATTGATTTTTATAGTATGTCTGGTGTGCACGCAGGCATGCGTGTATAGGTATTCCTTAATGGTAGCTTTAACATAATTTATCAGCATTCTTTCCCCAAGCTATAAAAATCAGGAATCTGCTAGATTTGTGCATCTGCTGATTAATATTTCCTCCCTTGGTTGGGTCCCAATTTCTAAACCTATTCACGTATCTCCTCTGTGCTAATATGATGCTTATCAATATGCTCTGAAAGAAAATTGCCACCAAAACAACATTTATAGCTCTCTGTAAACAATATGTTATAAGCTTGACTCTTTGCTTGCCTCCCCTTCCCCCCCCCCCATAAAAGTAATGGATAGGAGGATATTGCATCTCAGTGCATAAGATATGATCAATTAAATTGTGGTGAAGATCAGAGTTTTGAACATTAGCTACATGAAAACTGTCAAGCACAAAACACTGAAAAAAGAAAGAATTATAAAATATCCATCAGTATGGATCAGCATCAGTAACAACACATAATAAAAATACTAATACTTGTTTCAGTTTAAATCTCTTTATAGTATATTTGCTTCAGAATCTCTTTGATGCCATGTTGCCTACTCATCTAACATTTACAAAAGTAGACATTATGCATAGGTCAACTGTTTGGTTTGGCCTTTAAAATGAATTTGAAAATGTAATAAATAAGACTGGGATCATGCAGTCTCATGTGGTGCATGAGATCTGGATAAGATTCAAATCCTAATTCGTCCATGAAGCTCCTATAGAGACTTCCTTGGCCAAATCATTTTACCTTATAAAAATGGAGAGGACCTTTTATACTCAGGTAGGATAAATTAAATCTCATTCACATGGGGCTGGTATAATAGACATTTAAAACTGGACAACAAAACCACATATTGGATTTCATCCAGATTTACTCAGATGTAGAGACTGAAACCAATGGAAATGAAATTGGTCATGACTAATCAACATCCCATAGATTTGTGGAGGCTAGTTGTACCTTTCCATTACCAGGAATGGCAGTGGTTTTCTGAGGTAAGCATACATGTACAAGAGGGGGAAAAAATTCAAATGGGCTTCACAAGTTTTTTTTTTTTAAAGCAAAGAATAAAGCATGCTCAGATCCCCCCAAAATCTGAAAATTCCATCCCCACCTATAACAATGACACACCTTCACTCTGAGTAGTGGTCATCCTTTTCCCCTCCCTATCCCAAATGTTAAGAACAGCCGTCTGTGATCAAAACACTGTTCCACTCTGGGCAACACAGACTGGCAGTGAGCTCTCCAGAGCTCTTTCTGCAGTGCCTTCTATATCATCCCCCCACCCCACCCTGCAAACACTGTGGCTTTCAAGATATGAAATTATATGCAGAGATTGTGCCCAATTCAGCCAGCAGAAATCTATGTATGTATGTATGTATGTATGTATGTATGTATGTATGCCTATGTGTGTGCATGCACACATGCATGTCTAAAGGGAAGGAAGGAAAAACACTAGCAGTACACTCTTATGTACTCTCTGAACATCTGATTAAGTCAGGCAACATTTCTAAAAGCTTTCCCAACAAAATACATAGAGACTCTCAAGATCAGGTGACCCATAACAGCATCAGTGTTACACTCCTCTTTGCCTCCAACCTTCTTTCTGTAAAACAACTTATGAGAGCATATGATATGCCATGGTAGAACAATGATTCCAGATCTTAGTGTGACTGATTACATTTGATAATTGGCAAGTTTCATGAATCAGTTGACCCATCAATGAACCACTTTTTTCATGTCTTGACTATATACATGCCAAGTAAATTGATCCTGCATTCAGAATGGTTTCTGTACTGTCAATGTTCATTGCTTCAACATTTTTAGGAGCTGAGGTAACTTTTGCCCTTGATTTTTTATCTTGGCTGATCATTTTTTCAGATGGTCTAGAAGCCAAAGTATTTGGACAATGTTGTTATTTATTCAGGCTGAACTATGAATGTTCTGTAACAACCAATTTCAACTAATAGCTTGTTTGCAAGCTGCCATTTGTGAAAATTGCATTACCTATTTGATATTTACAATCTGTGACAGGTCAACCTGTGTCAGCTGAAAGGGTTTGTTTCCTTGATTGGATTACATCTGCAACCAAAGGAGCCATAAGTCCCCCGGCCTCTTGCCTAATGAACAATTCATTATGCTTCTTTCATTCTCAGTTGGTATCTACACATTGCAACAACCCTGTTCCAATTGTAACACTGAGATTCCTATTTAAATGACTGGATGCTGAAAGCACAGTGGGAAGGTGGAGAGAAATGGGGTGAAAGGGTTTGCTGCAAAGATGTCAAAAGAGCAGAACTAGGGCTCTACAATTCACTGTAGCCTGCTTCCTTCAAATTAGCAAAGTATCATGACCAGAAACAAGACTCCCAAACTTACACCCAGTTTTTGATTTTTGAGATAACTTCATACCTCCCAGCTAAATATCCATTAAATCCACCCACCATTTGTGCATGCATAAAAGGATGCATCTGGCCTCCACCCCATCTTCCCAGCAATCTGCTGCCAATCTTATGATCAGGCCACCCACCCTGATCTTCCCACTGCACACCCATCAATCTTTGCAGCACTTCCCTCCCTAGCTCCTTCCATCAGTCAGCCCATCCCCAGTGATCTTCCCAGTTCGTTCAATCTTAATTTGAAATTTTTTTGGTATTTTTTTTATGCTAATAAACTTTCAAAAACTTTCAGATCCTCAAACCCTCTTAATGTCTTCATGTATGTCCTGGGGTATGTCCCCAGTTTGGAATACTTCCCTGGATCAGAGGAAGACCAACCTGGCTGCAGATTTACACTTTTAAAGGTCACTTTTGTTGTAAAAGCTAAACACTGAGAATGCCAGTTGATGTGAAGAAGCAACATTATGAGAACAAGGCAGAGGCAGAAAAATAATATAGAACTCAAATAAAATGAGAAGTAATGGGATTCACTATCCCCATCTAGTGGAAAACGATTCTAAGGAACAAGAGTGAGATGGAATTAAGAAATGGAGAGGGGCTTAATATGATCAGACAGGGAGATTCTGTCATACCTCACATTGATTGCCAAACAATGAGGGCAGGTGTTCTGAGGCACTAATACCACAATCCCATAAATGTTTACTCAGTAAGCAGAGACAGTGAACAGAATGGGACTTACTCCCAGGTAAGTATAGAACTGCAGCCTTAATCTGGGGGAAAAAAAAGAATCAGAACTAGAAATATACAAATGTGCTTATTTCATCCATTTGCTACATGCGCAGGACACCCTCGTATGACCAAGAGACCTCCTGAAGTGTTTTATAACTGTGAAATCAAAACCTTGCTGGAATCCTGGAAATTGATTTATTAGGTACTATGAAGTCGATGTCAACTCTTAGTGACCACAAAGATATATGATCTGTCCCCAACCTGATCCTTGACATCTTCTATCATTCTATCATTCTTCTATCATTCTATCTTCTATTACCCATTGTCAGTGTAATTAAGTCCATATACCTTCCTTCTGGTCGTCCTCTGCTTCTCTTTCCTTCCACCTTTCCCAGAGGTTTAAGGGAGCTGAGTCTTCACATAATGTGCCCAAAGTATGACAAATACCGGAAACAGCATTTGTTTACAGCAGAAGCACTGGATTGAGCCAGGACTGACTCATTTGTTGCTTGTACCCTCACTTTACTGTCTACCAAAACACGAGTCCTCCCTCATTGTTAGGTGAGGAGGGCTGAGGCCAGAAAGCACAATTTTTCTCTTACTCTGTAACAGGCTCCTCCAAGAAGTGAGACTAGCCATCTTGGGGTCAGTCTTCTAGAAGTTAGTAAAAACCAAACTTTTCCAGACAGCCTTTGGGGAATGATTATTCACTATCAGTATTTGAACATCTTTTTAATGTAACCACTGTTTTTGGTTTAAAATTGCGTTGTTTTATGATATTATCTGGAGTTATAGATTAATTTTCTTTTTTCTTACCATGGATATTTTACTGAATTATGTTGTTATAAACCTTGAGATTTGATGGCATACATATTATTACTGTTATTATTCAGATACAGTTTTATTTTATTTTCTAATATTGAATCTTACCAATTCCTTCTCTCTCTCTCTCTCTCTCTCTCTCTCTCTCTCTCTCTCTTTACATAATGAAAAATATGTTACTAGAAAAGATGCAATTGATTTGAACTTGTTGAGGTGGTGGAAAGAAAGAGGAAGAAGTTCAGAAGGATAGTAAAAAAGGAAATAGATGGAGAAATGTCATATGAATCTGTGTGATTCCAAGGAAACAAAGACAGACTGAAAATATGGTAGATTCTTCAGTTGACTTGTCTGTTTAACAGTACTAACTTACTTAGTGCTCTGCTGTAAAATAAGTCCCACTGAGTTCAATAGGGCTTATTCCCGAGAATGTGACTAGAAGTGTCACTTAAATCTTTGCTTTTCTTAGAGCTGTAAAAATCAACACATTTCTCCTTCCATCTGACTTCATAGTGGCAAATAATAGCATCAGAGTTTGACTAGTGTTCTTGCCCCAGTTAAAAATCTACAACCCCCCAAATCTGATACAACAGTACACCATCAAAAGTTGTATATAAGCAGCAGCAGTATAAAATAAAATCTTACATTGACGGGCTAATCTCTCTCACTCAGCCCATAGAGTTGTTGTTATGGGAAAAAAATGGACAAGGGGGGTTGCTATGTATATTGCCCTAAGCTCCTGGAGGAAAGGCAAGATATAAATCGAATACTTTTCTCAGCATGTAAGAAAAGCCTAAGAGTCCAGAAAGATAAAACAGCTAATTTTAATTCTAGAACTTCTTCCCAAAGGGAGGGGGGAAAGAATAATTTTAAAATAGTGATTGTTTCAATGTGAGAGCCAATTTGGTATAGGTGGTTAAAGGTTAAAAGTTAGAAACTGGGAGACAGTAAGTTCTAGTCTGCCTGAGACACAAAGCCAGCTGGGTGACCTTGGGCCGGTCCCTCTCTCTCTTGACCCTAGGAAGGAGGAGGCAAGGGCAAACCACGTCTGAAAAATGTTGCCAAAGAAACTGTGTGGACTTGTCCAAGCTGTCACCAGGAGTTAGGATCGACTTGAAGGGACACCCGCCCACACAAACCCTTAACGTATCATGTCTTTGCCATGGAAACCAGGTTTGTTCAAGAGGACAACTGCTGGGTGATGGAGTGCACTCAGGCCTCAAAGCTGCATTCTCTGTGCAGATACAGCATGATGGATAGGCTAATTCTATTCCCATCCTCTTTTTCTGTGCATATCAGTAAAGTGGCACACATATTTATTCTGATACCTTGAGATTCTAGAAAAATAGCATTTTCAGCTTCCAAACATGTACATATAGTTTTTAAAACACACTATTTTTATTCCTCTCCCACAAAACTAGCAGCTCTCTTGCAAGAGCGACACTACTAAACATGTCTGTCCGTGTGTTGCTATTGGCTATCGGTACTCATGACATTACTTGAAAAGCAGCACCAATGAAAAGAATATGGGGGAAGGGTTACGAAGATTGCATTTGATATAATAAACTCACCTTATTAAGCTGTTCAAGGGTAGTTTTTTGCCTCTGCTGATAGTCACATTCATTCTTATATCTAAAAGAAGAGAAACAAAAATGCAAATAAACCCCACTGATAAATTAAAAAAAAAAAATCTCATTCAATTCAAACTGGAAACCATTCCTCAACTATAACTTAAGACATGGCTTCATACCACATCCAAAATTTGGGTTTGTCTCTGCAGAGAGTCCATATTTCAATTTTATAGGATATCTAAATTAGAACAGATATTTAATAACATGGACTGAGTTTACTGTAGTATATAACCTTACTCAGTGAATGAAACTGTGTTGACAGTTGTTCTTGATATTCATTTTTAGCTTTGAGTGAATTATTCATAATTAATTGATGATAGACTAGAAAACTACGTATAATCTCTGAGGTATTTTTTAATATTTCTAATGGTTTTTTTAAATTCCTTGTTCATTCATTTGTATTTTATTCCTTAATCTTGTTTCTTGTTTATGTCTGTTTATAGATCATCCTTAAAATGCCTAATAAGAAAAAAGAAATTTTAAAAAAGTTAAGAAAAGAAAATAGCCAAGTCCCTCAGACATCTGCTTTCCATTTCCATGTGGAAGTTAATGGACACATTGGGACATAATATTAAACCAGGGATGGGCAACTCACTGCCAGTGAAATATATGTCCCCACCATGCCATGTTTGCAGTTCCCAGAAGCCCCCTGCCCCCATAAGACTGAACCACAAATGTTTACCCCTGAGGTTTTTCACACTTAAGATTTTTCTGCATTAAAAGTATCTCCCAATTCTTCAAAACCTGAAAAAAAGAGACAAAAGTTTCAGGTTCACCTTCCTTGGTGATGTCAGCATCACAGCCATGCTTGTGGAGGCTCTTCGAGGCTGATAAAAGTAAAAGCCTTGGCCTTTCACCCATTCTCTCTCCTCCTCCTGCATTGCTGAGAGGAGGAATGTAGAAGCTGTTGCTTTTACTCAACTATGGGATTTGTCCAAACTGGCAAATTATTCTTTATTTTAAAGCAAGCCAACTTTAAACCATGGCTTATTAAGCTAGCTACTTTAAATGAGCCGGAGGTATAGTTGCCAGTTTAGTTGAATCCACAAATTGTGGTTAATGAAAGCCAGATACAAATCTTTCCAAATTCCTTCTCTGGATTGCACATTGTAAAGGAAAGGAGAAAAGCTTAAGACAGACTTTCTCAACTGGGATTCCGTAAGAGGTCTCGAGGGGATCCATGAGAGATCATGACTGAAAAAAAAAATTAACTTCATGTGTTGCACAGTGCTAGTGCCTGAGTGGTGGGAATTCTTATGCACTGCGACTCAGCTGCTGGCCTGCCATTTTGCTGTTGCAGTAAACCTTGCAAAACTTGGATCGTGCAGGTTAGAAGTAAATTGTATTGTGAAGTTTTTGTGTTTTCTGCAGGGGTTCCCTGTGATGTGATAATTATTTCAAGGATTCCTCCAGGATAAAAAGGTTGAGAAAGGCTGGCTTAGGGTAAGGGCTAGGGTTGTGTTCTGTATTTATACTTATATATGTATGATGTCTCATATCAACTATGGCAAAAATAATATAAAAAACAATTCAATATGTACAAAACGAATTTAAATGGGCACACTTTGGTTCCCATCAATTAGTATCATCTACCAGGGCTGAGAAGCAGCCTTTCTGTCGCAATGCCTGCCTTTTGGAATAATATGCCTCCAGAGATCCAGATGGCTCCCATCTTGATGGCAATCAAGAAGCTATTAAAAACTTAGCTATTCTCCCAAGCTATGGGACAGGGTGAAGGTTGAGCCCCCACTAGATGGGTTTGTTTGGGGGCCAGTCATGATTTCTTTTTTGTTGATTTTTGTATTGTTCTTATTTTTTAACTGTAAGCCTCCCAGAGGTATTGGAAGTCAGGTAGCCTCTAAATTGTTCAAACAAAGAAACAAACAACTTATTGTGTTCCCTTCATTTTTTAAAACAGAAATAAAAGAAAGGAGTTATGTCTGCAAGTGGAATAAATATTTTCAATTGTAAAACAAGTAGTCCATACTTTGAGGCAGAAGTATTTCTAATAATTTCATTGTGCTTTTGTTATTACAGAGAGAAAACAGTAAGAGAGAAAACCAAGTCTTTGTTTTTAAGGATATAAGGAGACAGATTAAGAAAAATAAATGAAAGATGCTAATAAAGAAAGAAATGAGAGATTGGACAGGACACATACATGTTTATGACTCACATGGCAAGAAATGAAATGATCTGAACACTTTGAATGCAGTCTGGGTAGAAAAGTGATTTATAATTTGCATAAATAGTAAAAGAATAATAATCATGAACATAAAGGTAATGTTACTGCATACATTCAAAGCACTCCATAAAAGTGTTCTGGAAGTCACTACAATCTGTGGGAGCTATTGATTGGTTAATTTAATGTATTTCATGTTTCCTTTCATCCTTTTTTTCCCAAGGCAATTAAGTATTTTCTATGCGAATATGAGATTTACTCTCAAAGTACCAACTTTAGAACTCCATTCCTGATAGACACTCACAAGTCTAGCTCTTGGTAATGAAAACATAAGATTGAATCTAAAGTTTCTTCCAGATATTTTTTTTTCTTTCTGTCGTCATGATTTATTTATGGAATTTTACGGAGCATCCAGATGACACTGTATTTCATATTTAATTATTCTAACTTACCCCTCACTGTGCCATTATGAAGGAAAAACTTGAATAGATGAGCCCTGTACTTTTGATTGTTTACTGCTTTGAATTGTTCTCTTGGAGCACATAGGTGCAGACAACTTAATGAGGGCTATCTGCTACTGGAGGAGAATTTTGGACATCACCACAAAACAGCACGAAGGCTCTTGAATTAGCATCTTTTGAGATGATACTAGTGAAAGAAAGGAAGCCAGGTTCCTAGGAACTTTGCTTTGCTTTTGTGAGATTGATTGTCCCAAAGCCATAAAAATGATTGTTTTGGACCACTGAATCCAGATTCTCTTTAGAAAAAGCAAAAGGTAGATGTCACAGTTTTGGAAAACCAAGAAACCCTATGCATACATCTGCCATAACAAACACATCTCCCTCACCTCCAACCAACTTACTTGTTACAGTATTCATCCAGCATGCGCTGAGCATCTTTCTTCTCACGTTCCAGCTTAGATCTGTTGATGGCCAAGTCACGGACACGCTGATGATTGAGATCAATCTGAGCAGCAAAAGCCTCTTCTAATCCAGCCAGCTCATCCATGCGCTGGAATGTCTCAAGCTGCTTGCGGAAGATGGCGTTACGCTGCTCAAGGGCCCGAGCCCTGTTGATGTAGTTGGCAAACCTTTCACTGAGTTCCTGCAGGTTTTCCAGGCCTTGGGCTTGTGCAAGACCACCAAATTCCTGTGACTCTGGAAGTTCTTCATAAGCATCAGACTTTTCATACTTCTCCTTGTGGACTTCATGCAAGTAGCTGCTCCTATACATAGCAGAGTAGGGAGCTGTGGGGGAGCCCAGAAATCTCTCTTGTCTGTGTCTTTCCAGTTTGAACACCAAATGTGTTTGAAATCAGAGTAGACTCAGTTCTCCTGCCAAACCCCAAATAACTGCCCAACCTAAGACTCTACAACAGGAGAGTCTTTGCAAGAGAAACAAAACAAAATTAGACAGCCCTGCCTTCTGGTTCTTGATGGTGATGGTTTTGAATTTTGTCAGCACTTTTTGCTTTCTTTCCCACCAGACTTTTCAACTGCATGTGACCCTGTGGGAAGCAAAGGGAGAGAGCTGTATAGTTTTTGCTGAATTGTTTGGAAAGCAAGAGAGGGGCAGAACACAAAAGACATGTGGCTTTACAGGATGGGTCCCAAACATTCCATTGCAGTTTTGTTCTGTTTTGTCTATCTCAGGGTGTTTTGAGTGAGGGTGTCACATTTAACTGATGCCTCAAGCAATTTTGGCTTGGCTAGGCTTTAAAAACTGAATCCCAGTATTCTAGGGACAGAAAGATATTTAAGACTTAAAAAAAAAAAAAACTACATCTAACAACACACCTCTACTTAAGAGCTCCTTTAGCACCTAGATTATCATGATAATAGTTCCTTTGTTTTTCTTCTCATATCCTCACGAGTCAGAGGTTCCCATGCTATGCCAGAGGAAGAACCCTCTATTTTTCAAATAGCTCAGAACTGCAATAAACTCTGGGTAATGTATAAAATGGTCTCCTCTCATTTTATCATCATAGGTAGGGCTGAGAGTGATTGGCTGAAAGTCATCCAATGAGCTCTGTGGCTGAGAGGGGGACAACCGGGATTCCCCCTGGTCCCCAATAAAAGAGACCCCCTCGGCCAACACATACATTTTAAAGCTAAGCACAGCCACTATCACTGAAATTCAGTAGTGCAACTGATAGAAACTGCAGACATTGAATCCCACAATTTTGAGGCAAGTAATATAAGAACAGTGTACTGCACATTTTGAAGTAGGGTTAACTCTATTTAAAACATTAAGAAAATCCAACTCCAACTCAAGTCTCCCCCCACAAAAAAGGAAAATCTATTCGCTTCCACACAAGTTAAAGGCTACCTCAAACTAACAACAATTTGTCCCCTTCAATAATAAGGAGCATCCATATTATTATTATTATTATTATTATTATTATTATTATTATTATTATTATTATTATTA